CCATGGAGCTTCTAATTTCGGCTGTGTAAGAATAAGGCGAGGGTGGTGATTTTACGAAAACGTATACGGTATTTGTCGCCATCCTCTCCTGAGCTATCAACACTTTTTCAGAACCATTTATTATGAAATAGCCGCCCTATCAAAACACGAAATTTCAGTTACCAATTAAACATTAAACCCTCAATTCCTCTGAACCAACCTGATCATAAGGACATTCGTTTAAGGCGTATAGGCTTTTGTCTTTTAGACCGTGCAATATGCAAAATGTGGATTTCAACATGACCGGGATCTGTTTTTGGGTTTTTTTTTTCTTTTAATGAGATCTTTTGTTTACGCACGGAAATGGTCAAGAACAAAATTTCCCAAAGTGTATTTACCTTTCCGACAAAGACTTTATCATATGACATTTCTTTTGGATCGTCTTCCAAAGAGTTCTCATCGAACATTTCGTTTAAGGTTGTCTTTTCCCTGTTTTCAAGGGATCTCGGGTCTGCCGACAGTGTTTCCTTTTTCATGTTAACATAAAGAGGTGAAGCATAACTAGTTTAGCGCAATAGAGATCGTAGCTAATTATTAATCAATACCATATACGAGTTACACGTAGATCACTTGATGTAATTTATGAGGCATACGTAAGATTTCTCAGGCGACCTTCCTGAGGAAACATCGCCGAAACACTACCGTCGGCTTCAGTCATAGTAGGCTTAGAGAGGTAAACTTGACCGAACCGAATGTAAAATCGTTTCTGATCGAATTGAATAAATTGGTAAACCAGCTCGTTCATCCACAATCCGGCAATATCGAACTCAATAAATATTTAGCGGATCATGTTTACCGGCTTATCACCATCACCCCCCTGACTTCCGGACACAGTTTGCAGAACAAGATTCTTATTCTCGTCAACAATTTCCTGCATCGTGTTTTCAACAAACTCATCAAACGAATCAAGCTGTTGCCGGACAAGTCCTTTCTCGTGGAAGAAGGAAGATATCACCGTCCAACAATCTTCTTGTGAGATATCGGGCTGTAATTCGGAACCTTCTTCGTAACCTTCTAACATTTGAATATGATTAGAAGAGTAGAAAAGTAGTCGCATCTACCTCGATCGTTTTTATACACCGATTGGTGTATAGCTGCGGGGCATACCTTCGGCGTACTCTTGATACTGCAACTGATCTTCATCCTCCAAGACGTCGTCGACAGTGTGAATGGACGCGTCGTGCAGCATGCCCGACATTGCCATGGAAGAATAGTCCTGCTGACTATCTGTATCATACGAATAACTTTCGTCCATTTTACTGTTCGAGAGAGTAACGAGTGAAACAAAGGAAAAACCCGCACGCCCTTTATATTTTTAATCAGGTGATCACAGATCGTTATCGTTTATCTGTGTTTGTTATCTGCTGATCTAACTGGTGTATGTTCTAAAAACAAGCCATGATTATAATTGAATTTGAAACAGAAATCAACACGTACGTATGCGGTATCTATTTCTATATGAACATCTACTGTAAAACCCCAAAATGCCAACATTCAACTACAATTAAACACCTCGGAGGAATAGCATCACCTTCCCTTTCCATATGATGCTCACGTTTCGCGAACCCACCCACGTCTCGCCAATTCATTCTTATTCCGCGCGGACCCACGTTTCGCGTTTTGCTGAAAGGAGTTATCCCTGTCTGTATTACAAACTTGTCCATGTATCGCTATATCTGTTCATGTTTCATATTTTTGAATCCTGTGTCACACGAATCAAATTTTTTAAATCCTCTATATATACCTTCGTGTTATGTGAACTTTTCCAATCAAATTTGTGCTTCTGTGTGGCGTGGAGATCGTAGCGGGAGCGGGAAAGGTTGGTAAGAATTGTTCCAACAATGTTCGGTCTGAGTTGGTTTCCGGAGTTTCCATGCTCTCTTCGTCCAACTCTACTTGCACCACTTCAAGATACATCGAACAAATTTGCCCATTTGGTAATCGATTCAACATGAAGTTCCACTCTGTTAATGCGACTCTCCCTGAGAGCCAGCATGGTTGAAAATCGCCGGAAAGGTGACAAGCCAATTTTCCAGTGTTATCATCGAAAACAACGGTACCTATTGGAAATTCAGTATCCTCCGATCTTGCAACCTTGAAGGTTCCCACGAGTTTTTTCCCGGGCAGTGTCTTGCTACAACCGAACGCCGAAAGTTGCGAAATTGTGCAAACTGCCATTTCCCCAGTGTTTTATGTGTTAAGAACACGTGTTCTGCTGTAAATAAAGATTTTTTGTTTTTGAAATGTTGATCAAAACTATGTGGGTAATAACAACGTGCTGTGCGTAATTAATTTAATATAGTTGCTAATGATTTAAATTTA